TTTATTCTAAAAGTATTATAGGTTTGCTTTTGCACATTTAAATTTTTAATTCTTCTTAAATTTATTTTTATGCATGCTATGAGAAAACAATCTCTTCATATAATCTAATTTCTGAAGCACAACTTATTAAAGTCCACTGTTTCTTACAGTGTTACCATCATTATATTAATTTCTCTAATAGCTTTTGAAGTTAACTCTTTATCCTAGTTGATTAAATTTAATCATAATGTAGATAGTTGGAGACTTATTATGATTTATCCTGTGTGGTACTTGGTGTGTGTGTGTGTGTGTTTCAATTCTACAATTACCTGATTATTATTTCTTTAAGTATTATTTCTTTATCATTCTCCCCATTCTTCTGGAACTTTTATTGAATATGCATTGGAACCTTTCAATCTGTTCATGTTTCTTTATCAATTGCTCTTTCATATATTTAATCTCTTTGGCTCTCTGTGCTGTAATTTAGATGTATCTCTCAGTACTGTCTTCCATTCAGTAAAGTCATTCTTTTACTGTATCTAGTCTACTGTATCTTATCTCATTATTAAGTTTTTAATGACTATAAAAATTTATAAATTCTAATGGTTTCTAGGTGCATCTTTTTTTAATATCTAGTTGTTTTTTATTATTTATGTTTATTTTAATAAATTCTTATTCATTTTAATGGAAGTTACTTCTTTATTTATTCTTTGAATACCTAAAATATTTATTGTAAAATAATTGTCAAATTGTTCTATAAAATTAATTTCATTTGTAGTCAATTCATGTACCAATTGTTTATATACTTTTTTCCTTAGCCTTAATTTTATTTTCATGTGTTTGAGAATTTATGTTTTCATTTTGAGTAGGAGATTTTTTTATTTGTGGTTTTTGGTTTGTTTCCTTATTTTTTCCCCCTATTTCCTTTACCTAACAGTTTTCTGGCTGCCCCAACTCGGAGAACGTTTCTTCAATTCAAAATCATGTCTTATAGTGGCATTTCAAAATTCCTGTCATACTTTGGGATATCAGGGTTGTTGCAAATCTAATCACTGAAACAGTGGTCAACTTTTTCAGTTCCTAGTACTGTGTCTTTGTCCTTCTACCTCCTCAGGCCCACAGCTCTATATAATACCATAGCCTCAGGAAAAGTCTTGGTATCAGCTTCGTTTTTTAGCCTGTCGTGAGTGGGTGAACTGTAGATTTGGAAGAGATGGGGTATATCAAAGTATCATCTTAATAAGAAATATTTTGGTAGTTTTATAATTTTATTTTATTTTTTCAAAAACATCTAAATTTTTAATAGACAACAAGTTGCTCGTATTTACATTATACAGTTCAATGAGGTTTTTTTTTCAATTATAGTTGGCATACAATAATATACCAGTTTCAGTTGTACAGCCTAGTGATTAGATATCCACGTAACTCACAAAGCGACCACCCCACTAAATCTAGTGCCCTTTTTCCCCCTTACTTATTTATTATAACATTATTAACCACCTTCCCCATGCTACACTCTACATCTCCATGTCTATTCTGCAACTATCCATTTGTTCCTCTTAATCCCTTTGCCATTTTTTGCCATCCCCCCAAACCTCCTCCCATCTAGTATCCCTCAAAATATTCTCTGTATTATGAGTTTATTTCCACTTTTGTTGTTATTTATTTTGTTCTTTATATTCCACATGTACATGAAATCATGCAATATTTGTCTTTCTCTATCCGACCCATTTCATTCAGTGCAATACCCTCTAGGTCTATCAAGGCAATATCATTTTCCATCTCCTTCCTTGTAGTCGATGTCTGTTTTTCATTTGAATTGAGTGTCTTGCAGGCAGCATATGTAGGGGTCTGGTTTGTAATCACCATTTATTTTTAAGGGCCTGACCCAGAAGCAGTTATCCAGGACTTTATGCATATTTTTTTCTTCTTAAAGAAGTCCATCCAAAATTTCCTTTAGTAGTGACTTGGTGCTGATAAATTCCTTTAGCTTATTTTTGTCTGAGAAGCTCTTTATCTGTCCTTCAACTCTAAATGATAGCTTTGCTGGATAAAATATTCTTGGTTGTAGATAAGACATTTAAATTTTTAATTGATCTGGAGTTTATTGTGATTTAGTTTTAAAGTAAGAATCTAACTCTAGTCATCCATATAGCTAACCATTTGCTCCCACTTCATTTATCAAATTATTTATTGACTTGCTAATTTCTGCCACTACTGTTTTGTACATAGCCTTTAGATCTGTCTTATTCTTTATATTTCCATTGTTACCGCCCTACATGAATATAGCAGACACTGTGGTAGGCTATGGGAAAACAAGAGAAAACAAGAAAGATAAGATTACTTCCCTCACATAACTTATGCTCTAGTAAGAGAGACAGACAATACTTAAACAAGCAAATAAATAAAAACAAGTGTAGCTTGTGTTAGGCAGAGTATAAACAGCTGGATGTGGTAAAGAATAATAGAGGATCCTACTTATACAGGCTGGCCAAGAAATTCTGCTTTCAGAAATTGACATTTAAGCTAAGAACTTAAGAATAGGAAGGAGCCAATAATTTTAAAAGCTGAAAGAAGAGCAAGTACAAAATTCCTGAAACAGGTAAGGGCTTGATGTATTCTAGGAACTTTGACTGCAGAGTTGTAGCTGGTGGGATAGGTACATGATATGAAGTGGGAAGCCTGAGGCAGGTGGCCAGATCTTGCAGGATCTTTTGGGCCATAACCAGGCACTTGGATTTGTTCTAACAGGCTGGAAAATCATAGAAGGGTTTTAAAGAAGAGAATGACATTCTCCAATTACATTTTAAAAGTTCACTCTGGCTGCGTTGATAATGGAATGTAAGGAGGTTACCATGGAAGTAGAGGGACCAGTTAGAAAGCTATTGCAGTAATCCAGGAAAGGTAAAATGGTGGCTTAAACTAGAACGGTCACAAGTGGAGACAGGGACAAGTGAATGAATTAAAGATAAGTTTTGGAAGTAGGACAATTTGGACTTGTTGATGAATTGACTATGAAGGATAAGGAAAAGGGAAAAGACGGAAAAGACTAGGATGACTCCCAAGCTCTGACTTTAGTGACTAAGAGAATAGTGTTACTATTTGTAAAGATAGGGACAATGGGAAGGAATGGCTTGGGGAGGACACAGAGAACTCAAACATTCTATTTTGACTATGTTAAGTTTGAAGTGTTTGTGAGATAACAAAGTAGAGATGTCAAATCAGTGGGTTGAATATATTAATCTGGGACTCAGATAAAAGATACAGTTAACATATAAATGTAGGTGTCATCAGCATGAAGCCTTAAGAATGGATAAGCCCTCTCAAAGAACAGTCTATGTGGAGAAGAGAAGGCAGTATTTAGAAACCAAGATGCAGGCACTAGATCAGTTACTAGGCGCGTCCCTTCTCCCAGGTCTTCTCATTGGACTGAACTAGAAATATATGCATTCATATACATATACACATAAACATGTATTTACACTCTTACATTTATGTGCATAGATACACACACATTTTTATCTATATTTCTGTACCTATCTACCTATACTGAAAACCATGAGTTCACACTGACATGTTCCATTCAGTCCCTTACCATAGGGCTCATGTAGCTTTTCTCCATCCATATTTACATCTCTC